CCTGCGGAACACACTTAATACAACTGGACATGCACAACCCAAAAATCATATCCTAATGAATAATTAGGAATAATGTTAGCCAGCAATTTTCTGAGGGAAAGTGCAGATAAAATTAGCATGTTTGTTCACGGTCTGGCTTACTTTTCTGGATCTGGGTTGTCAAGCTTAGCTTGTCTCCACAGCCTGGGATCATAACCTAAGAGAAAAACAGAAACAAGAGTGCATTTTCATTACTGTAAAAAGTCACACCACCTGCTCAAGTCATAGGCTTGTCTGTATTTCTCTTAAGTTTAATGCAAATTTGTACTGGAAAAAAGGCATGTATTAATCTTTTTTTAGTCTTTGATACAAATATCAAGGACAAAACCTTCAACAAAAAAGTCTTTGGTATGGTCATCCAAAGACAGGCACAATGGTACTCATATCTGTCAACAGCAAGTCGATGGGAATCGCTATCGCAAACAAAATAGCCAACCTAGGGGTGGAGTGCTCAGGTAGGCATCGATCTGCGCCTCGGATAGCGCCAGCTTGGGCACCATGTCCACCACGCCCAGGCTACCCAGCTGGGTCTTGATGTTGGCCTGACTGAAGAAGCCAAAGGCAGTGGAGGCCGGAATGCGCCTGGTCAGACCGGTCGGAGATCGCTCCTGGATGTAAATGATGACCTCAGTCCTGCATTAAACAAGATTAGCCATGGAGTTAGACTGTGTCCAAATCAACACATGAGTCTGGGAAGTGGCTGCAGCTACTAATGGCTTTCCTAGACACACGTTAATTCTCACCATAGCCAAGTAATGCAGACGTGGATTAGTTCAAAAACAAGACATGGTTTGCGAAATTTAACACCTCAGTATCAATTTCACACTCTTAAAGGAAACATTTTGGATTCGGCTCTTCAAAGACAGCACAGTATGATCGGTGCTGTGTGAAAGATAGTGGGAAGTTAGCTCACCACCTTCCTCGGGAGAAACTTGATCTCATGCCCTCTTGCTTAGGCGTGAGGTCAAAATAGAAGCACTTTTGAAAGCATTCGACGCTTTGTAAATGCTAAGCCCCACCGACAGTCAGTCGGGCTCATGCTCGATCGAAGGCATCTCCGGAGAGAAATTTTGCCAAGCGGTGAGGCGCATGCAGCACTTCTGCGCAGCGTGTGAGAAGAGTTTTGTTCGCGCGATGGCCTAACTTGTCTTTCATTTGATCATGAAGGGTTTGATGGTAGTGGGAATGCATTGTAATGGAATTTAGCCAGATCTTAAATAACAAAATTCTGTTATCCCTCCGAAAGAGGCTGATGGAAAATAGCTCCTTTGGTCACATGGGCGCCGTGGTTTCTCCTCAGATATGCAACAAATGCCATATTTTCGTAGTTGAATCTATTTCACAAAAATAACCAAAACACAATTCGCTCGAACTCTAATTTGATCTTGTATTCTGTACTGAAGGAGGAAAGTTCTAATTGAGCATGTTGTTTTTTTCTATTTGCACATATCTTACGATGGTTTTCTTGAGTCAAGCGTGGTCTGAACGGAACCGCTTCTGGCCGGCAAAACATGGTCTGAAACTGTCACACCTCCGGAGGTAACTTGTTATGGAATTAACTCGTAAAAAAACTCTGGGAAAACAGTTTTGAACAAATATATTCAAATCAATGTTGCTCGCGGATGGAGATAGATAGGAGATTCATTATTTGCACAAACATATTTTATACACAGAAATGCTATATAGGCCTATGCGACACAGTCGATGCGAGTTCTTCAATGTCTCAGTGTGCGCTGTACATGTACATGTGTGTACATGTCCGAACTCCAACCGAACCGAAGTTCAGCAAAAAATTTCGAAACCGTGTCAGACACGAACCGAACCTTGACACCTACTTGCAGCACTATTTGAAATGGAGTTTGACTTTTTTATTACCTTCAAAGAATATTGGTACACCTGACTGAATTTCAAAATGAATTCATATCATGTCTATGTGGATACTTCTCTTCAGAGACCATAGATCAAGCGGTATAATAGGTGACCATGTTTGGCCATTCCTGTCACTCCCGTATAAACTTCTTCATTTCCTAGTCTAAAAAACGCTTAAAGATGAACATTAGTCTTGTGGTGATGTCTTTTCGTCATGGATTACCCACTCAAAACATTTCTGAGGATAGAGCAATTGTCTGTAGCCTAGAATGCAATTGATTTTGCGTCTCCATCACAAGGTGTTAACCAATAATCCTTACGGCCAGGGAAGGAGGGCTGACTGGGGCCCACTGAAGTTCTCCTTGAGTAGGATCTATTGTTCACAAACTCCATTGTTGTCAGGGTTGCCTGCTCAGCTAGACAGTCCAGGGCAGACGGTTCTGTTCAAACTGTTGAACTGTCCCAAACCAAGCAACGAACGTTGAAACCAACCGTTGAACTGTTTCTACACCGTCCGTATTTTGACCTCACGCCTTACTTGTGTAGAAGTCTCAACAGCTCAATTACCTGAGGTCAGCTGGTCGACTTGAATCCACAACAGTGGATGTTGTGAACGCTGACATGCAACCTTTGGGAATTTTTTTTCTCTTGCACGTGCTCGGACAACACTGAGTATACTGAGCTCTTAAAACTCACACTGTTGAGAACCCTGAGAGAACCACCAGGACCAGTCAGATGGTCTACAATATGTAACTCTTAAAAGAAGTAGTATATGAAATATGCACTGCACATGTTATGACTATAAAATGAACAGGGATTTTTAAAAGGGAATTCCTCTTTATTTCCAGCACTGCACAACACAGACATCTGTAATAGACATCTGTAATATCAGACAGGATATAACTTACTTGTCATCTGGCAGCTGTTTCACGTCCTCCACACACACAGACAGGGTGGGTTTACTCCCCAGGATTTTGAAGAGCGCGTCCACCAGCTGCTGTTGCAAGCTGCGGATTTCCTCCTCCTTCTTCTTGAAGTGCAGAATGACCAGTCCGTCCTCGTCCTTTGATGTGGGTTTGACACTGTAGCCAACTGTCTGTAGTACATTGAAACCATGAGGAAATTTATTTAATCCTCCAAAAGCACCATTATGCAGGACCCAAACAGCACATTCTTTGTACTTCAATTTTCAAAGGGCAAAGAGCCAAATAAACAGTCTGTGTACATGTAATGGTGGCTAGGATCTATATTCAGCAATTCTTCAAAAACTCCAAAACTTTCTGGAGGATTTTGAAAGATCCGGGAGGGTAATTTCTAAGACAAAAATCTGACAACCTCCCTGCTGGTGATAAGGAAAATGAAGATCTTCTGCGGCAAAAAATGCAAAGCGGTGCTGGTACAATAATGCATTTACTTTGGTATACAATGACTTATCAAATGCAAGGGATAATGGCACACTTCTGCAAATAGGTTATATGAATCTCACATTTAACCTGGTACTTCCCCTTCTCCTGGAGCCTAGAATATTATGCAGGGATCAGAAACCAGCCTATGTCACTTCAGCCTCCTTAAGAGGTTACAGCTTTTCCTCCCTGGTACCCAATCATTTCCACATGGATGGACCTCAGGTGTAAACCTGTTAAATGCAAGGCCGCATTCAAATTAACTGGCTCAGGTTGGGAATAACCAGAACCAGCAAGAGAAGCACCAACACACTTTGGAATCAAAATGGCTGTTCACAGCGTACCCGGCACATGGTAACCGCCATTTTGTTTCCAAAATCGTGACCCTCGTGTCACAACATCTGCACCTATGGCAGCCACCAGCTGAGAAGCTGCAGCCACTTCCCATAGTTGTGTAAATTATTCCCACCTGAAGCCATTCATCTAAACATGGACTGAGAGCATCATAACTGCTACACAGCACTCTCTACAATTCAGGCACAAAACCCACAACAAACCATGCCTTGTACAACAACTCGGCACTGTACCTTGAACCTGCAGAAAGGATTTTCTGGCGTAAAGGGCACAGAGCTGTTCTGGTTGATGTAGCCCTTGCCTGTCCCCCAGAATGCCTGGAGTTGGTTCCACTTAGCAATGATTGCATCCCTCTCGTCTCCATAGATGGTGGGCATCAACAAGGCACTGGATATGCTCATCAAGTCTGCACCAACTCCTGCAAATCATTTGTAACAGGGTACAAATGTATATCAACATCAGGCACCTCTGCGCCAAAAAAATCTATCTTTGAGTCATGGCAATATCAGAAAATGTGGACCTCGTTTTTACAAACGCTGCTTTGTGTTGTGCTATTGGATAATTTGAAGTGAAGCTATAAAATTTCAAAATCGGACTGTTCAAATGTCAAATTGAGAAATACAACTTCACAGTTTGGGTTTGTGAAAAATTTACTTTGCGGATGAAATATAAGTTTGAAAAAGTTTGCTGAACATATTAAGTAACAGCATCGAAACAAAGTTCAAAACTCTTAAAATTGCCAAAAAACCATCATTCACTCTTCATTTTCAGCTGTTTCTGCACCCACAGCTGCGTCCAATTCTGCCTGGTTGTGACATCACAACACACAGAGAAAACATCTTAATAGGATGGTCTCTACCTAAAACACTTTAAAGGTTTAGGATTCATACACAGACTAACCAAGGCTAACTGCGCAAACAATCCTCATTGTGAACATTTACCGTAGGAAATTAAGGCAAACTAACCTAATAGTTTAACAGTTCTTATACTTTACCTTGCTGTGGTTGCTGCTGCTGTTGCTGAGTGCCAAAACCTGTGGACAGTCCACCTCCTAAACCCGTGCCAAAACCACCAAACCCTTCACAGAATAGTAACAACCTCATGAGCTTATTGATCAATATCTGTAAATCTTTGCAATCAAGTCAGGCAGCTTTAAAGGAGATGGGGTAGACCAAATATGTACATATTTGGAAACATTTATTCTATTTAAAAGGAAAGATGAGCTCCAAAAGCTTCCAAAGAAAAGTGGTCACAGAATTCAAGAGGAATTTTCAGTGTTAATGTGAGGAAACCAAATACTTAACAGTGTAAATGTCAAAGTTGTAAGACTGTCAAAATAGCTACAATCGTCTGATCATGCACATTTAATATCTAGACTTCTGTGTTAAGTATTTGGGCACTGACATCTCCAACATGTGCCCGGCTCTATAAAAATGAGTCACAAGTCTCTGGAGCTACTTTTGAGTTTTACTTTGTATTAGATTGAAGAATTTGAGCTTCTTCTTTTGATGTGTCACTCAGTTTGGTAGAATGGAAATAGACGCTGTGCAAATATTAAAACACAATGGATTCCTGTTGCTTAAACACTGTGCAAGATTCTTTTAAAGGTCTTTAACTCAAAAGTGCCTCTGGAGACGAGACTAATTGTCATAGAGCCAGTCACATATTACTGTAAACAGTTCTTTCATCTCTCCTTGGTCTTTAATTCAAAGAAAGGGCAAAAGATTCACATTGCTTGTTCAGTTTCTCTGACAGAGACAGGCCAGAGGCAATAGGTCTTCACTGAACATTTAGCCCAGTAAACCTGCTTAATAAATCCAGTTTTGCAAAAGTTTGGCTTTATATTGTTGCTTGGTGTATTTTGTACTGTTTGCGGTGTATATTTATTTGTGTATGTTTTAGGAGATTGACGTTTGATTTCTTTGAGGCTTTCAGATTTTCTGTTTTACCTGTGGACGTAGATGTTCCCCCTAGACCAAACCCACTGCTGGTGGTACTTGTGTTGGTGCCAAAACCACCAAACAAGGAAGAAGCTGTGGTCTTGGTTGCTCCAAAGCCTCCGAATCCTGAATATCAATGCCAAAATCAAGTCCAAATGTTGCTATGTAGGGTTAGAAAGAGCGAGATAATGAGGTCCTGCTGATAAATAGATCTTGGGATTTAATCACGGTAGAACTAAAAGTTCAACTGAAAAACCTATTCCTCAGTAATCAGGTTTATTTGTTTGTGTTTTTGTTTTTACACGTTTCCCTAAAAAATGGTTACATGTCCGTCACAGAACAAATGAGGCTAAGTACACATGCCAAATTGGACATACTTCCAATTGCACGGAAACTGAGATGATTGTCAAATGTTCTCCAGGGTCACAATACAGAATCTGACAGAAATTTGAAAGAAACAATGCTATTCAATGTAAGCCTTTCCATCAATTGTTTCCAAATTATTTCCCAATTTGTACAACTTCTGTCGGATGAATAGTTTTGCACATGTGCCCATTCACTCCCTTGCTCCATTTCTTTAACTGCCATCAATATGACTTAAATTATACCAGAATCACACTGACACTTTGCAATCAATTCTTCAGGACGAATTGTCACATTTTATCAGGTGCATGAGGTAAGGATGATTGTGCACTTCACCAATTTTGAAATGAAAGCGCACAGGGCTAAAGTGATTTGACTGAAATGTCTTTCAGAAATTGTGAAATGAGGCATTTTAAAAGCTGAAAGTGGAGTTGTTGAGTGAGATCAAAAATCTGCATGATAGGTCATCTTCTACGTAATCACTTGATCTTACTGTACAACCTGTCAATAATTTCGTCTTCGGATGACTGCACTGTCTTTTGAGGAAATAAAATGATGAACTGATGTGTAACTATAGTAATAGCCCAGTCAGACTCCAAATAAAAACAAGCACAACAAAATCTGAATCATGGTACAAGGCATCACCAGTTCCAAATCCAAATCCTGTGCTTGACGTTGTGGGAGCCGTTGAGCCAAATCCAAATGCCGAACCGGCGGCAGAGGTGGTGGAGGTTCCAAACCCGCCGGTGCTGCCAAACCCGAAGCCTGTAGCTGCTGTTGTTGTGGTTGCTGTCGTGGTGGTGCCAAAGGAGAAAGTCGGGGCAGTTGTCTTGGCTGCACCAAAAGCAAAACCTGAAGGGCCACAAATTTCAAAAAAGTGCACGGCTGAAAATTGGTTTGCTCCATACACCTTGCCATTTGTTGGCAGATTAGGATAAAACTGTGCATCCTGGGCTAAGCCTGCATGTAGTTCTAAACGGTGTCGGCCACTTTGCCATTTACCACTTCGCCCACAACCACTTCGCCCATTTGTCCCTTGCCCATAAATCATTTCGCCCACAGCCTCTGTCAAAATTGAAAGAGAGGAGAACACATTAAAACAACAATCTACCCCTTCCTGAATCCATCCCGAATGCCAGGAAAGATAAAACATCAAATAGCAATATAAGGATACTGTGGATTTAGAAAATGTCACGGTTTTCTTTGATGTAAAGCTAAAAGCTAGCACGGCACCTGACCGGCCGTGCATGTAGCAAGAATAGCGTGGAATACCTGTGTCATTCCTCCGACAACATAAAGTACATTCCAAATTTCGACAACCCAAATGGACATAAACTGATAATATTTCACCATTTATTGAATGATTTCACTCACGTTATTCAGGTATTTTCCAGTCTTTTTTCCTTTATTTATTCAATCTAACGGGCTCACTCTCACAGTCGCCATCTTTAAAATAACGGCTGTTCCATGTCAAGACATCTAAACTGCTGCCAAAGTTTTGGAAGAGTCCATTGGTACATGTAGTATCTTATCGCTCAGTCCGTTTATTACATGTCTTGACATGGTATTTAGAAAACGGAAAGGTCAAGAATCATGTTCGTATGCAAAAGAAATTGCACCCACGATTATAAGTGGGTGCCCCAAAAATGTTCAGTACGCCGACACGAAATTGCGCATACGGATGTGTGGCTAAGGATAAATCGGGAGTGATCCATACCACACTAGTGGGGCTAAATCAGATCATGGTTCATTCAGTCAAACTGTTCCGACAATCTGACAATGCGTGTGCGCCCATTTGGCATTACCCCCAGAACTGTCAGACTGTGTATAAGACTGTGGGTCATGAACCTGTTGAAACTGTCAGACCGTGGGAGCGAGGCAGACGTCGGACCCCACACTTCTCGGAGTATATGCACCCATCAAAACCATGTAGGTATCGTACCTCCATGATCGAACTGAGCAAAAAATCTAACAAAACATGTCCAGACTTCCAACCTGTTTGCGATGTCGATGGCGCCCCAAAACCAAATGCAGGTTTGGTGGTGCTACTGCTAGTACTCTGTCCACCGAAGGATGTGCCAAACCTCGACATGTTTCCTGTTTTTTAACAATTCGTAAACCCTAAAATGCACATCACCCTCATCTGATCGTGCAGTTTACATTCGCGCCACGCTACATGAATTTGCCAGCTAGTGTGGTGCTTTGAATTAGATTTATGGGGCTCCGTAATACACTACCGGGGAATGGATTTCAGACGGCAAAAAACAGGAACAAAAAGTCAATAGAGGGCGCCATTATAGACGTTGAGTCAGAGTACTCGAGTACAGTCGACTAATCATTAATTCTTCGCAATCGCGAAATCAGGCAGCAGTAACTCGCTTCCAAGATGGGGGTTTTGGGCGTGTGCCTCAAAGTCTGCGGATGGTTTCCCGTGGTTTTTATCACAGCTGTTGTTCTCTGGTCTTATTATGCCTATGTCGTGGAACTATGTATATGTGAGTATAGAGCAAAAACTGAGACTGGGCGCGAATTGAGATCGTTATTTCTTTTTACAGCCTTTGTCGTCATGGTTGTCTGGTTGTGGCAGTTCCGTCATGACGGAACTGCCACTGCAGGACAGTTTACTATACGCGTCATGTCCGTAGCATGTAGCAGCAGCAGTTGATGGATATTGAAGCAGATGCATAATTAACAGTGCCGTGAACTTTGTGAAGGAATGGGTCTTAACGTTACAACTTAAGTTAGGACCTACCAAAAAAAGGCTACATATCATTGGTTGTGGGCTGTTCGTGAACTTCACCAGGTGCTGGTGCTACATGTAGGTGATTATGATGAAGAAGTCCCGCGGCTATACATGGATTCATTGAATCTGTTGCTACGCACTGAAGAAGATGAATACTAATAGCAGAAGCCTTTTGCTAAGCAAAGCCTTTGGCATTATGATCTATATAATACATCATGCAGAGCAAAGGAAGAGGGTGTGTTTATAAACGAAACTGACAATCTTTTGGTTCCAACTTAACACATAGGCATGTAAGTACCGGTATATGTGCGTTTGACACTGAGTATGCGCAACAAATTTATTCGGGAATGTACACTAGGGTCTTTGCGTACACGCAGAACACGTGCAAGAACCTGGTTGGAAAACTTAGTACCATCTGTCTTTCTTTTTGCCGATTGGGGGTGCACTTCAGCTCAGGGTGGAGAGTATACATCCAGTTGCTGTCCAGGCTCTTTGTGTTTCTCCTGACCCCTAAATGCAATGCCAACTCTCAGTGGACTGCTAAAAATGCACGCAACAGTAAAAGTTTCTCATCCAGCGCCTACTTCTCGAGTTTACAAACATCCAGTTTATTATGATCTGAAAGTAAATTATTCCTCAGACTGAGTCCTTTTTCCAAACCCGAATGGACTTGTCTAACTTCAATGAAGATACAAGGTGGGAGTGAAATTTATGTAGGTCTATTCGGTGGCAAATATGTACATTGGCCCCACGTGTACAGTACACGTAGGGGGTGACCAGATATGAAAGTTGAAACTCATGGTTCACATCACTTGGTTTGAAAACAAATTGTTTGGACAGAGAATTTTAATGTTATGAGTTTCACACTTCAGTACATGTACCTACATGTACATGTAATTACTGTTACATTTGAAAACTAAGAAACAGGCTTCACACCATTCAGCATTTTTTGTGATTTGCATATTTTATCAATGTTTAACAGCACTTTGCAGGAATTAATTTGCAGTACGTAGTCAGAAGCCTTGATGCATTTGTTTTGTATTGCTTGGACAATGCCGTGAGCAACATACGTGTACATTGGCTGAGCACTGTTTTGCATAATTTTGAAATTATGTTGCTGTTGGCATATACATGTATGTGAAGAGGACCATTAATCAGGTTAGAAATTAGTAAAAAAAAAAGGAAGGAAAAAAAGTAGGCCCTACACTTCAGGGTTTCCCTGGGATATTGATATGTGAAAGGTCAAACAAATTTTGCCAGAATTTTAGTGCCTAAAACAACTATTTTCAAAAAGGCTTAAAATTATTTTTATAGTATTTTACAAAAGTTAAGTGCTCAACCTGTAAGACCATTCATAAAACTTGCAAAGGATTTTCCGTCATATATCCCTTGTCACAGTATACATGTCATATGTAACAGGGACAGAAAAATGTCACACATCGGACCCCAAATTTTAAGAATGAGCCATCTGTGGATAAACAGTAGTCACAAAAAATGTTCCGTACGATCAGAAAGTAAGTCCCTTTAATCACAGCAGTGTACCAATTTCAAGGACCTTGTAACCGTTATCTCTTCTGTTTTCTTCCAGTTATTCTCCTGGATAGGAGTATACCTCTCATGTGTAAGTTGATATCCTTTTTTCTTTGGTCTTACTAATTACTCTACAAGAAATCTGGTTACATACCGTACACTGTACATAACTTGTCCTCGCATGTGAAATTTATATTTTTATGAAATAAGTTTGGGGCTAAATATATTTACTCTTGTCACTAAGAAATAAAATGCTGGTTTTGTGTTTGCTTGTTTTCTTTAAGTACATCACTACTGTTTTTCATGAAAATTTAAGGTTATTAAATGTAATTAATGGGGGGGAGTGGTTTATTGCAAAGGTTTAAATAGACTTTATTTATTTTGATTTCTCTGTGAAGTTGGCATCATTTTTCCCCTTATTTGTGTACAGAAGATAGATATTATTACCAATACAGATTTGTCACAAAGTACTTAATTTTGTTTATTTTTTGTCTTTCTGTTTCTCTTTTCTGTTCATTTTGACAGTACTGTACCTAGTGCTTTATCACATTTTCTTGGTGCTCTTTCTCTGCGCCTACTGGAAGACAATATGGACGTCACCAACAAAAGTACCGAGTGAGGTTAGTTGTTGGTTTAAAACAAAAGCATAAGGAAGAGGAGATTGAAGAGGGAACTCATATTTTTAAGATTAAAAAGTCAATCCTGTGAAAGGAAATGAGAAATGCCAGTGGACAGGTGGAGGTACATTCCGTTGAAATGTTCATCTGGTTACCTGTGTGCCAATAATTGCAATAAACTCTAAATGTCGTATTTCATCACAAAATGTAAATATGTCATATAATCAGCATGCAAACTATTCTGGGAAGTTGTGGATAGGTTATTTAATTACCAACATGTATCTCAGTTCTCTTTCCTTTTATTCATTTTACAAATGAGTTCTTTGGGCACTGGGGTTTGGAATGGGGCGGGCGGCATACATGTATGCAACCCCGTGTGCTCTCCATTCCCTGCCACCCTGACATTTTGATTACCTGAGGAGACACTTTTACTGGAGTGGTACCACACTCGGCCACACATTCTTCAACTTTGGATGCATGTACATTTTGGAAAGTTACAACTCCCTCTCTGATTTAGCAGTGATATTACACGAAGGCATCGACGGCAATTGCTGTGTGTAGGCCTTATTATGTACGTTGCACAGCTGTAAAACACACGTAAGTGATTCGCTGGAGACAGTGGGCAGCGCAGCACGCATCAGTTGCTAACTTTCACTGGTGTCAGCACGAAATCGAAGTGTCATTTTCAATATGCATTCGCGTGCAAACCAGTTAACAAATGGCATGGCACGGACTAAACCAGCGTGTGTATGTCTCTACCTAGACCACTGTACTTTTGCCAGCCCACCGAATTAATGAGATTAAAAGTGTCATGCTTCAACTTTGAGATGCCATACGCAGGGTGGCTTAAAAATAATAAATAAAAAATCCAACTCCACGCAGTTGCAACAAAATGCAGAAAACTGGATGCATTTCTTGGATAAACCATGATCGCGTTTGTTTCGGCGATTAGCGCCCACTTCCTGTAAGTGTAATAAATAAACATGATAAAGAACAAGCAAGCCTTTCTGAAATAATTCTTGCCTAGTAGCAGTCATTCATTCACCAAACAATTCTTCTTTTGGAGAAATTATTTCAGTGAAAAAATAGTTTTCTAACTTGTTCCAGAACGCAAAATAAATTTCTCAATCTGTTATCGACCTGAGAAATGTGTTAAAAAGTACGCTGAGATTGGAAACCAGATGATGTCAGAATATTGCAATTTTCGCAGAGCGTTGGTGTTGAAAGTTTGTCGAGCTTCTCCATTTTTTACAACTTTTCATTTTACAGCTACTGTTAAAAACCGATACATCTGTCGATTACCGGTAATAAAATGTAACCTTTAATTAAGGAAACAGAACAGACTACAGTCTGAATATTTTTCATTTCAGTCAAAATATGTTTATTTACATCTTTATTTTAATACTGTCCCATTTTGCAAAACTGCCTTGCTGCACCGTGCAATAATTGTACTATTGCCTTAAAGCCCTTTAATTATTTTGAAAATTGCCTTGGTGCCCTGCTTTTTTATACAAAGTCAAAGCAAAACTTGCTGTGCCCCTTTTATGCTGTAGTATCAAGGCTGCTGGTTGCAGAAGCATGTAACGCATGTGCGTCACCTGCCCACGAGCACGGCACATGTACCTTGGCAGTGATGGCTATTACTGGTTATTATGGTCGCTGAATTAGTCTATTGTTAGGTGGCCTGTACCCCTTGTATGTACATGTAGGCCCTACCCCGTCTGAATTTTCGCCTTAGCACTTCTGGTTTGTGTGCATCGTTGCTCACAGTTCTACTTATCCAGCTCTGAGCTTCAGCAGTACGAAGCTGAGGATCGCAGCGAAGAGAAGATTGAGATCTTGAAAAGCTTCGTGAGAGACAAACGACTGCCCATATGGACACGCACCTATGGAGGAGGTATTTAAAGGATATGCATTTCAACTTTCATAGCTTTGGTGTTGAATAACAGAAACGGTTCATTTCCTATCACAGACTCCTTCAGCTCCTATAAAATTTACAAATTCAGCCAAGACAGTATGGCACCTGTATGTTACGTGTACATGCAGAGACATGTTCATTTACATGTATAAGTAAGCCACTTTGTCATCATTTAATCAATACAGTTTAACTTCAAAACCTTGCGGATCTCCAAAGTGAGTGATAAAAAGAAGTAAGCAGTTATGCATAGTTGTGGATAGGGAAAATTAAGCCAAGCTGTGCTTAGCATAGTTGTAAATGAATGCAGTGTAACAAATGGATATTTGTCAAACAGCAGCCATAACGCAATATGTGTCTTGATGCCACTTGATCATCGTACAGTGATGTGAATTGTCTGAAGGAAAAGTATCATTTCACCCTGCATTGTACTGGTAGCGTTGCTTAGTGTTGCCTTGACAGGGATGTACATGTACCAATTCAAGTGAAGTTTAAACTTTGATAGTGATTACATTGACTGATGTTTGTTTGGTCTGTAGGTATGAGATACTGTCACATCTGTAAATTGATCAAGCCTGACAGGTGTCACCATTGCTCTGTATGCAATGCGTAAGTACATTCTGTTCTCCTGCAGTTCTTTGGCAAAAGTGTTTTGACAACGTCAGTTCAGATGCAACTTTAAGTGACAGCTTTACTTGTAGTTAGCCATAGTTAATGATGTATATGCATAGTTTGGACCGTCTTGTGGACTATTTGTGAATGTACCAAACATTCTGATGAACAGTCATGTTGCAGTAACCATTTTTTTCCTTCTTGTTCCCAAGTGAAATAAAGATTTTTACTCCCAGTTCCAAAGCTACCGATATGTTTGAACAGTTTTAATATTAGCGTTAGGATTCTACATGATTCAAATGCTGTCTGTGTATTAATATTAGAAGCCACACGGTTGAAGCACAATATTTATTTAATTAAATATACAGATCATAGTGAATAATATTAATTACATACACATGTACATGTATATAATATTGAGAATCTGCTGCTCAAACAAGGAAATGAGACTAGAATCAGACTTCAAATCTCCATTTGCGATAAAACTTGTGCTGTAGTCTGATTCCCCAACAATTTTTATGGTTTCTTTTTCCCATCTCAGGTTGATGAAACCAACATAATATTGTATATCCCTCCCCCCCCCGATTGGTCTGGGAATAGCTTGTTATATCCTTACTCTCCAGAAATTAAGTCCAGCCATGCATGTGGACAGGCCCTGTCAGCCGTAACTGTTCATTCCATGCTTCATCGATTCTTCCATAAATATGCCATGAGATCTTTACTTTCAGAACCGAAAGCACTTTTGAGCTGTATTCGTAATGTCTTACCTACTGAACATAATCATTTGAAATCGGAATAGCTGTAGACTTAACTTGAGACCAGATGGGCTGTGATCATGTGATGGATTTGTGACACACACGTAGGGATTTGCAATGGTGTCACAGAATAAATAGAATATGGACAAACGGAACAAAGAATCCTAAAGGGGGCATTGTTTACAGCTGCCTTCATGTTAGCAGTGTTTCCGTTCCTAGTGTTACCACCTGGTTACACTTTTGTGTGTCAGTGTGGCGGCTGCAAATGGATTGAAACTGTAGCAATTTACGTGTATACTTTTGAATTTTAAAAAAATCAATTCTCCGAGCGGCTTATACTGCAAAACGGAATGACAGCCTTTGTCTAAAACCAACAGCAGTTCCGCTGCTTCACTCACACTACAGCCTGCGTGCCTCGTATGAAATGGTTTGGGGTTATTGAAATACTGGCAGAAATTTATAACTTATAGAAATGCTACTGATATGGCCGGTCTTCTTCTATCGTGGTTTTGTCATTATACATGTGCATAATGCACTGACCCAATTCTGCATGTCAGTAATACCCAGTAGATACATGTCAATCTAGACATGGTATCGGTGTACTCTAGGGGAGGGAGACGTAGTCATGGCAAAAGCACTCAACAGTTGATAATGTGAAGCAAAAAAAATTAGGGACTAGTTACCATGGTTACACAAGCTAACAAAGTACCGGCACCGGTACTTCTGCTGTCACTGTAGGCCTTTCTGACGTACACCACACAGTACTGATTACCCATTATGTTGCCAGTACAAACTCAAGATTAGAATTGGCATTCGTCTGTCTTGTGTCTCAGAGTAACCGGTTATTATTTTCCATGTTTAATCTTGACATACGTACATGTATAAGTATATGTAGGGATGATAATTGGAAATGTACTGAATCTCTGTGTCATGATGGCCACTCCTGTTTTGTGGACACTTTATATTGATTTTTATGCCTTTTATGTCCTAAACACATGTACAGTACATCACTTTATGTGCCTTGTCAGTTTCACCTGTCATGGTCATAACGACATCTGTGCTATTAGTCACGGTACATGTACATCACACAAATATCACATGTCACATGACAGCACTTGTCACATGAACTTATGGAACATGGGGTTTAAATGTGCCTGTCATGGAATACTGTGTATTCTTTGCACCATTGTAATGAAATGACAACTTGTTCATGGCGATGCCATGATCATGCAGTATTGCCAACAAACAAGTGCTCACAGTTTATGTGCATGTGTAAATATTGAGTTACATGTAACATACGGGTACATGTATTTCACATAATGTAATACATGCTTATAAGTCATATGTTGTGATATAATAAAACAGTTGAGCCTTGGGTCAGTCTGCAACAGGACTTTTTCACCCTCAAACCTATACATTCATTGCCATCAACAATATCACCCCTTTAAAGAAACAAAAACAAAAAAGTGCGACCACTGTTACGTGTTAGTATTAATAGAAAACAAATCCTATTTATTTGTGTCCGCATTTTCAGCTGCATACTTAAGATGGACCACCACTGTCCGTGGGTCAACAACTGCGTCTGTTACAACAACTACAAGTTCTTTGTTCTCTTCTTGTTCTATACGATACTCTACTGCTTCTTTGTGGCTATCACTGTTCTGCCGTACTTCATTCAGTTCTGGCAGGTAAGATCCGTAATCCTTGGAAAGCCGTTACTAATTATCAGACACTGCTGTGCAACATTTATGGCCCTGTATTGTACTTTGTGAGTGGCATGGAGCAGTCATCCAGGCACGTCCCATTAGACCATTTGCCTGACGTCCAAAACCTTCTCAAGAATAGCGTCATGATATCAAACATGTGCTGGTACCCACTGAGTTATGTGTGCTGGATTGAAGCAGAAAGGGGCACACTCTATCTACCTTTTGTCATTTGTGGTTAGAAAACCAGTCCTAACTCTCTTAAATTGTTTTTGGTGTTGCGGTCGGGGAATCATGGCACTAGAAATTCACTTGTATACAATTGCAAATTAAAATCATTGTCACAGGAAATGACTCCATCAGTCTACCAAAACCTACCAAAGTAAATCATGTATTTAAAAAGCATCTGGAGATTATGCATGAATGGGAAATACATATATTCAGTCATAGCTGAGGCTTTTCTTTTTGTCTTTGGGGATTTATTTTTCCACTGTGAATTTATATGGAAGCAGAAGTTTAATTGCTTAACCAATTTACGTACATGTATACATTACATGAACTACCATAAGCAATGATGAGTAGACTTCCTGTTACTTGCAGTGCAATTTGTGTAACTCTTTGGCTTTAACCTTCTCCAAGTGACAGGTTTATTTTTCCAATCAGTAGTTCCTCTGTTTTGTGCTTTGCACAGTTGTGCGCCAAGCAGCCTAACGAAATTGGCCCTCTTTCTAAGAATGGAGGATTTTTTGTTAATGAGTCTCGGTCGTCACAGTCGTGGGTCTATGAAGGATAAAACATTGTATGCATAAAGTTACACATACTCCTGTGGCACTGCGTGTTTTAATGTGTCCAACACAAGCCAATTAATATGCTGTTTCTGTTACACTATCCTTCTGTGTACATGTGCATCTTTCGAATTGCATGCATCTGTGCCAAGAACACATGTATCTACTTTGTTATTGTCATCTTTCCAACCCCTCCCCCCTTGTAGTCAGACCATCACAAGACCACATACCGGTACCAGACCATGCACAAGTGACAGGGTGAGCAATGAAAGAGGGATGCTTTTGTTGCATTTCATTAGAATTCAGACTGGAGGTCTTGTGATGGTCTTGTGTCGGTGTGAAGATTTCTCAACTACAACACTGCCTCCTCCCCTTTGCCCCAAATCCTTGAAAATTTTTCAGGAGTTCTTTTTAATTGAAGGAAGGTAGCGCCCAGTCACATTTACCATGTTTGCTGTACGTTTGGCTCAGTGCCTCTTGAAATGCAAAGAATGAGCCATGATGTTGCTGCACAGTGGCAGATTTCAAGCAAGTTGCAACTCAGAACAGTTCTGAAAAAAAAGGGCCTTAGACCTTTGAGTTCCCAACCCAAGATAGGCCAAGTTTGTGTTTAACACATTGAAATCCCTCAACTGAAATATCATTAGCTTACATGTACATGTGTATTGAGCCTTGCAAGGTTAAAGAAGGTCATGAGCCCCGAGCTGGGTCATTAGAGGGTTCAAGTTTCCTTGCAACGGCAGCTCCTGTGATTGGAACTGCACTTCACTGGTTCACAAATGACTGTGAAATGCACGTGCGCGTCACTACCAGCAAAATAAACACTCCCAACCAACATGGCTCTTTGCAACTGATGAGGGGGTGCTTCTGCTGAAGGTGGTTAAAGTGAAATGCAGTTTTTTTCTCATTGTAATTTTGTTTGTTTGTTGAATGTTTAATCAAATGTCGGTCTTATGCACAGAACCTTCTGGATCGCGCCCTCAGCGGCTTCAACGTCATGTTTCTGTTCATAGTTGCTCTCGTCTTCTGCCTGAGCGTCACAGTGCTGTCCATTGTGCATGTGCGCCTGCTTGCCAACAATTGGTCCACCCTAGGTAGGAGGCATGGCCACATGTAGCTCCGCCTCTGCAGGGTGTCTTAACAGAAACCAAGAAAATCTTGTGAAAATCTCCAAGTCCAATCTGACAGTTTCCAAGAAGATTTAACTACATGTGTCTTGGCCAATAATTTTTCTCATCCACCAATTTATAGGTACCGCTGTAGGCCCTTTTAAATTAATGTACTGCTTTATGCCGTGCTTATCATACACACGAATGCTCTGTTAGAATTCATCTTTGTACCACCAAGCATATCGGAAAGCTTTTTGGCTCTGCGCTTTCCCCAGCTTTAAACTTTTGACTGTTTCTACCTTGTTTTCTCTCCTGTCAATTTGTATGCTTCAGTTCTTGCTCTGCATGCAGGCATGCACCAAGAAATGTACCATATCTCTGCTAGCATGCACATACCGGTACATGTACATGTACATTTCCATGTATAATTTCAGTTAGTAGGGTCAAACAGTCTTATGTGCACTGGATTAATGAGTTTTTGTTTTTGAAGGTGCTTGTAATCACATCTGATTCAGCGTTGCTGTTCTGACATTGGTCTGAGTTCCAGAGGTCTCTGTACTTAATCTGAGGAGGCATGGTGTACATGTTCAAGTTGATTATGATGCTGGGCAAAAAGTATACTTACATCTTCATTTGTTCCATCCCTGCCGGTCACCCCTTTACATTTGGGCATTGGTGCTCAGAAGAGGGTGGGATTGGCCCATTAAACATTGGCAGTCCCCTTTTTCAAAAATCATACCACCTGTTTTCTACATGTAAATATTTACAGGCTAGTGCCTCTTTTTTTCTTCGTTTTCCCTTGTGTGTATTTCTGAAGGGGAACCTTGGGGACAGAGCAGCCCGCAAGTTCCAAATCGTTTTCCTCTTCTTTGCGGCGGTCATGTTTTGCCTGAGCGTGCTGATCTTGATGTGTATGCACACGCACCTTACACTCACCAATCGAAGCACGCTCGGTAAGCACACTCAAACGGGTAGACATTTTGCTTAGGGGGGCAGAATTACCCAAAGCAAGCTTTTTCCTAACATATTCGTGTAGTTTTAGATTTGTTGCCTCCTCTGCTTCTTTTTTATTGCAAAATACTAAACATGAGCATTCCATCACAGCAGTGTGGCTACTTTATGGTTGTCACCTGTCATGAAAGCCTACGTTGTCTCCTTTTTATATTTTTGGTGGAGGTTATTGACCACTTTTTGCCGGGTGGTTTGAAAAATGCAGTGCACATAATCGGGACTTTGCCAAGATTTTCAGCTTTCAAAATTCTTCAAAAATTCATTCCAATTAATGGATGTTTACACCCACACGAATTACTGTCTGTTGGCTACTCTAGTCTGAGTGACAAAATCTATTGACGCCCGAGTATTTCCGCCAGGCCTGCAGCCTTGGAAAAAGAGCCCAGATTGTGCGGTGTTATATACCGGGAACTTTCTTTGGTTCACAAACCTGGCACCGTGCGCTGCTGACCTCTTTTCAATAGGGGCCAGATTAGCATGCAGCGGTGCTGTGTGGCTCATTGCTGCGGTGGTGGAGCACTTTTGTCCCCAGTGGTAATCTGCTCTCTTTAAGTGCCCCAAACCATGTTATACTGTTTCAAAACAAGGCTGGATTATCTCCACTGTTGAGAGTGAAAAAATGCCGGTAATGCCCAGCAGCCTGGTCTTTTGTTCCGAGTATGGTCTTTTGTTACAAAGCCCAGTTCCTTTTGTCCACTTTCGGGTTCCCAGGTCCATGTATAAAGCCCACCTTCTCAAAAACGGGTCCCCAGGCAGCAAGTGGTCAATTAATGAAAAGCTTTTTACTAATTTAACTGATCTCTGTTAAAATATTTCTTCAGCAATTTTTGCCACTCTCAGACTTCAACAAGTTATGTAATTGCCATTCGACCTTGAACCTACATGTAAATGAGGAGGGGTGAGGGGTCAAAGTCCACCCCCCACACCATTTCTTCTTTATCATGGCAGTAGATATTTACGGAGATTGAATAACGTCTTGCAGTTATTTCAGCACCAATCTTGTGAAAATAAGGTACATGTACATCATTCTCAAAGAATGCCCATGTTTCAGGTCAGTAAAAATGTCCAACTTGTTTCATTAACCCTAACAGTCCTCAATCCTTCATCTGTTGGAGGACTGAGAACCCTAACAGTCCTCAATACTTCTCCTGTTGGAGGACTGAGGACTGTCAGGCTACCCTTGAGGTTATGAACTACAAATGACTGTAGTAATAAAATTGAAAACTTCACAGATGAATGGATAAGGAATGTGTTTACATGTAGTTAACCACTTTCAAACTTATCAGACAGCTGAGACTTTGGGTTGGAATCTGTCTTCCTCCCCCCCTCCTTCCTTTTGGGAGACAGTTTGAAAGAGCCCGGCTCTTTAAGGGTTAGAAAAAAAACATTGCCACATTTTTTTCTCCTTCCCATTGTGCATAACATAGATATATGCACAGACAGATGACAAAGGATCATGAAATGGTGGAACAAGTAGAACTACCGAATGTGTGACTTTACAGGAGTTAGTTTTGTACATTGTACATGTAGGATATTGACAATGCAAAAAATCTCAATGAGGATACATGTGAGTGCTCTTAACATTCCCTGCAAGCCTATTAAACACGACCTACATGTAATAAGTCATTTTGAAAAAGGGTTTTTTTTCCAACATGGTCAACAGTACATGTACTTGGTAGTTAAGACACCCTGCAGTTGAAGGCTACGAGCTGGCGTGGCAGGATTTTCTTGTTTCTTTTTTTTTTCCATTTTTGTTTTATTTCAAGCAAGATTGCTTGTATTGATCCAGTTACTGTACATTTTACTTTAAAATGTTGTTTTTCAATTTGTAAGATAAATCATTAGCACAGTGTCCTAAGAAAACTTTTCATGCACATGCAGGTAGTAGATAAATGGTTAATACTCAGCATGGACAGATAAGCAGAGAATTTGCCTCTGTTTAGGAACATATTGTGAGATTTACTTCAGTAGCTGATTCATGTTTCAAAATGGGAGTTTGGTTAACTAAATAATTTCTACTGAACCTAAAAGACTAAGGTCTTTCATTAGGACTAATGTCCTATCATTTATGGGAGGAGATGGTAGTAAAGTGTGGTTTTTATATATGGAAATGTAATTTATTGGTGTCAACGTTGATCCCCTCGTGTTAACATCCTGTTTACTGGACACCTGCCCTTGCTCCATTAGAGTCATTCCGTGCTCCTGTCTTCCGTCATGGACCTGACAAGGAAGGCTTTAGCAGAGGGAGCTTCTGCGGTAACTTCAAGGAGGTCTTCGGAGACGAGAAGAAATACTGGCTCATTCCAATTTTCACTAGGTACAGAGACCTCGTTTAATTGCTTGCTTGCCCGTCATGCATATATGATTTATGAAAGTGTACTGGTCCATAGCTATTGAACACCTGTGACTGAGTTAAACCAGGTAGTTGTTGATAAACAGCACTAGACCAGACCAGCCGTCATCAACAAGCATACATTCAATAAGAGCGAGGCCTTGTCCAAAAATCATGGCTGTGGCCAGAAATAACAAGATGTCAATGGAAGCTAGTGGCTGCAGTCACTTCCCACAAACACTTTTTATGTACACAGCCATAGCCAGTTAATCCATATGCAAGCTTAGTTGAATTGTGAAAAACAGTAGTGCTTGGTAGAATGTCCAAAGTGTTTTACACATTAAGAATGGATTTATGGATAGAATTTAAGGTCATTGTGAAGCCAAGTGACAGAAGGGGTATGCAATCTTTTTGGTTAGGAGGAAGGAATCTATTGATTGGTTATTTTGAAACATGCATTGGGCACTCAAGTAGTTGTAGACTGTATTGGTACAGTCTTATGCATAAAGTATTTGGACTTATTTGCATTCTAAATAATTTTTTCATGCAGCAAGGGTGACGGAGTGTCATATCCTGTCCAGGCAAGAGACCAGGACTCTGATCGATTGCTGGAAGGCGATATGGAAAGTGACATAGGCAGCGGCCCAGAAACAGAAGACAGGGATGCAGGTACATGTACATAGACTTGGAAAGAAAGACTTGGGAATCTTGCATTGTTACTGTATTGTCAGGTATTCTGCAATTGCTTCATGTGAGCTACAGTGGGAACCTACATAACTGCATGAAGGTTCACTTCAAATGTTTTTTTTTTCGGGGGGGGGGATAAGGAACTTATAAACCAAAGCCTAATGAAACCAAGTTTTCCTGTCATATTCACTGTCCTTGATTAACCAGTTGATTATTATCTTCTGGTTTAGCCAGAATCCCCGGTGGAGGCTTCTGTCCGTGTATCAGTCCATAAAATTGGCTGTTCCTCTACACATTTCATGGAGAGTTACAAATGTGGTTATGTGGATTGCTTGAGGATGACGGCACAGCGTTCTTGTACACCTGGAGGTCCATTTCCACATTCATGATGTAACATTTTGCAGTTTTTGTTGATTTCTCCATAAATTTGCCCTAGGTCTGTTGAACTTATACAGAGATTTCAAAGAGGAATCTGCGATGCAATGCCTACAAGCTGTTCTGAAATATCTGCTTTTTTTATCATTCAGGTAAAAAGGGAATCAGGGAGAGTATAAAGACCAGCACCACTTACTCCACTATGAACTCAAGTGGTGTGGCCGAGGGAGGAAATAGGGACCATGTCACTCTGCACATGGACAAAGGGGAAGGCAAGTACAGGGCTCAGTGTTTGATCTATATCATTCCTTTACCGAGCCTACCAGTATCATGGTTGTGTTCGGATCCGTCACACGTCCGTCATAAGTCCATCATAAGTCATTCAGTCTGAACCCAAGTCACAAGCCATGCGGATGAACTCTGACAAAAGCGCTCCTTTGTTAGATTTGTTCACCATGTTGCCTGGGAGTGGTGCTGTGAAAGGACTTGTGAGGGGACTCCATAAAGGATCGGACTTGTTACAGACTTGACCACAACAGTGGAACCATCAGCTTCAAATCCCATGATGCTCTTGCATTGCAAAGCTTAATTTGAGCTTGGTTCTGATCTGGTACTCGTAACCTTAGTTTTGGGCTGTCATTGTCTTTGGACCTTTAGGCACAGATCTAGCAGTGAGTACCTGCGATTTTAACATCTTGTACCTGCTTTCAGCACCACGGGTAGCACAGACTTTTCTTTGCTATGTGTTCATACACCTCCAAGCCTCCAGTAGTATTTTAATCTACATGTAATGACATTTTTCATTTATCTTTCTCTTTGTTTTAGGAGCTCAGGTGAATTTAGCCATTGAGGGAGATTCCACCAGATAAACAAGCCTTGTGTGCAGATAAATAGTAGCTATGTGGGTTTTTTATGGTATGTAGAACTTTAGGTTAGCGAATAACATGACCTCAATGCATGGTTCCTACTACTTAAAATGTGATCTGATGTTGAAAGCTTTCTTGGGCGTTAATGTCAAACTCCTTGTTATACCACATTCTTAATTTTAAACACAATGCATGAAATGCCTTGACATCGTAGTGCAAAAGTAGAAATTTGTTTGAAGTTTTCTTCATTTGGTAAACTCTGGCCAATAACGTGTGGACAGTTTTACGTTCTGTGCTCACAATGCAGACCAGCCTAATGAACTAGTTGTTCCTTGGTTGGCACGGTTACACATAGGAAAATATTCCCAAAGGATACATTACACCACGCAGTGCTATCAGGCTGCTCTCAGTCAGATGTGAACATAGCCGAGTGTGAATTGGTCTGGTACATCTTAGCATTTACCATAGTTGCCCAATAGCGGTGTAACTCGGGGTGAAATTTCTTGGAGAACCAGGGAGTGCAAACTTTTTTTTCAGGAGGCACAGAGCCAATTACTGATGAAAGCTAATGAAACTTTATACATAGGCTATTTACATGTCAAAGTTTCAAATAGGAGTATTCAAGGGGCATGGATCTCCGCTAAATGGGAGTGCCTAGTTACAAGTGTCTTCTCCCTCGTGTCCCTCGGAGATACACAACTGTTTTGGAACAAATGTTGATGACATTTTTCAACCGATGGTTCACCTGGCCTTGATAAACAGGACACTGAAAGCTGATGAACATCAGAGCACTTAATCCCAAAACTATATTTGGTGCTGCATGCACCCTCATATGTCATGAATTGACCTATCACAATGCTCGATGAATTCACTCATATTCATTGGCTAGACCGGTTTGGCCTAATAGGAATTGAAATGCATTCCATATATATACGTGCATATGTGTTGAACAGAAGATGCACATCTGTTCAAATGGTTGTCTGAAGCATACATGTATTTACATTTGATATTAAAACTCAGACTTTTATAAAGTAATCCATAAGTTAACAAAATAATTTATGTGAGCAGGTAAAAAATGAACATACATGTATGCCTCCAGCTTGGCCGATACAGGTACATGTAAGCATTATATGTCAATAAGTTATGTCCAAGAGATTAGAATCATTCAGTTTTAGTGCTGGTAACTTTTAGCAATCCTTATTGGAACTATAGGGTCTTGTATATAATGTGAACGGTGCATTATCACTGCTAGTACTACATTAGTTATTATTCAAGATAATATGAATAAGGTACACAGCGTATTCCATTCAACAGCCTTGGTTGTGTAACAAATTAGATGTATTGTACATGTACATAGTCAACTAAATTGCTGAGTGGTATATTGGGGATGGTGCATTTGATGACTTTCTGACTCGTGAGGGCAGCAGACATTCCATTCACTTCTCCATGCATTGGTCAGGGGGGGTTGGGGGTAATCTGGCCTTAATACCATCTGCGTATCGTATCTTGAACTGACACGTTTCTAGGGAAAATGGATATAGGTGGAACATAGTCATTTGTAGTTGTGTTGCTACCGCTGTATTTGCTGTGCACCTCCCCCATGGCATCTCCAGAAATCTTTGCTGATTGAAAACAGCCACCCTCTTCCTCTTTATGTTTATTTTATCCTCTATCACTAAAAAGAAAAAAAAGTCTTGAGCATTGAAGGGGGAACAGTGTTTTGGTGATGTGTTTTGCGAGCAGCTGCATATGTGGCCTTCAATTGTGGGTCACGTTCATGGTTACAACTTCAGAATCTGTTTTGTTTTATGAATGCCAAAACATGAGTCTGCTCAGTGCTTTCATATAAATCTTTGCCGTTGGCTCACATGCAAATGTTGAATCATGTAAAAGTTGATGAGAAATAAACTTCATTCTGAAAGCTGTGTGGGATAAAAATTACTACGACATTGTGAGCAGAAAGGGCTTTCTCATGTTATCCTAGGAGAATCAAAGCAACCTTCCTCAGGTGTAAATGGGAATTCTGGCATCCAGCCCCCAAATTTGTCTTGATATTCTGTTGCCTTTTAGAGATTTCTCAGGTGTCAGATTTTTAATGGTTCCAGTAGCTTAAACAGTGTCGCCTTCACAGCAGCATTTGTTTAGCAAAAATGTGGTTTGAAACAAGCCAGCTTGTTGTGTGTTGAAAATTGTTGTGTTTGTACAAAAGCGTTTCAGGAGCAACGTGACAGTTTTGATATGTACGAGTTACGGGATGAATTACCTGCAATCTTTGAGAAACTCTTTCTTCTTGTACAAATTTACTGGTCCTGATTTTTGTTACGCTGTTGTGATATGAGAGTGGCCTGGCCCCTGGTCCCCCCATTTATCATGTGCAGTGCCCCCTTTCCTCTCCTCCACTAGGTGGATGGGTCAAGTATATTTGAGTGTTTAGGGACAAGTTGTGTAGAATAGATAGTATGGCAAATGTGACCCAATACCCCAAAACTAGGCTGAAGTAGGGAAATTTGATATTTGACCATTTCTCCTCATGTTGATAAAGTGATCCTAAAGTTGAAAAAAATTGTCTGCAGAAAGCTTTCATAGTTAAGAGAGCAGGAGTTTGCATTGTTCATATGAATACTGTATAATTTTCCACCAAGTAGCTTATTTACTCCTCAGCCTTATCGTGGGACGGTCTGTTGACTCATAGATTGACTTGTGCGAGACTTGTGACTCAATTCCAAGTAGGTTTTGATGGGGTCGACCTGTGTGTAGGAGGAATGACAGGGCATGCTGATTCCTATTGAATCTCTGCACACTGCATCCCTTAACTTAGAGGGAATTCTTTACCAGATGTCCCATTCCTGGTATCCATGCCTTGTTAGGAAACCACCGATGACATGCTTCATTCTTTGTTCCCAATCTTGGCCTCAAAGTAGTGAAGCGCTCAATGTTGAGCTTTGGAGTGGTAAGATCATAAGCCAACTATGAACATGGATTTTCTTGTGTCCGGTTTGAAGCTGTGTCCGTTTGTGCAAAAAAGTATTAATACGGTTTTTATTTTAGATGGAAATCTGTTGTCTACGTGTAATAAAGAATTTGTCCTTTGGAGCTGATAGAGTGTTCTTCTTGTAGAGTTCTTTGTGTGTACATGCTTGATACATGGTAAGTAGTTAGCAGTAGTGACTGTGGAAAAGTATTCTTTTTGTAAAAAAAAAAATGCTTCAAAAAGAAGTAAAAGTCATACATGAACTACTCATTTACACCTGCAACAAATTACTGTAAAGAGAGAGTAAAATCTCTTTTCCTTCTCTGAATAGCTTCATTTTTTTTAAAAGTGATTATATCCACCCCATGACCACGTATCCGTCACTCAGTGACAGACCAGCATTTACAAAAGGGGGAGGGGCTCAAGTGGAGGTGAAAATGCAAATGAGACATACCTCATAAAGAATTTTGACTTTAAACTCGTTAACAAGTACACAGCATAACAAATGAAACAAAAATATCGCCCTCAAATACATGTAAATTGTAAAGGATTCCAGAGGGGCACACACTGGAAGCACCCCAGGGAGAGCTACTCACACCCTCACTGGTACAGGAGACAGGCCGGCTCCTGGTCAGTTCAATGGGTGCCTGACACCCAGGCAGGGACCATGCATTCCTTTGATTAACTGATCATGAGTGCTTCTCAATGCTTATGAACACACCTGCAAACAGTGTGTGACCCCCCAAAAAGTGATATGTTATACACTGTACATGGACCGCATCTCACGCACTGACCTTGCTGTTGGAATTACTGGCACGATCGGTACTTGGCCAAGGAGGCCAATTTGGTTGTCACCCATGGCCCTTGTAGTACATGTACGTGTAGTTTAACATGTCCTACTGTAGTGTGAATACCTGTATACATAATGGATGAAACCCCGCTTGGAAAATAACATTCAACTGAAAGTCAGTTGCAGTTGTAAAGTGCCCTCTAAACTTAATCGTCACGGTGTGTCCCACAAAATGTATCCTCTGCATGCCTAGCTGAAGAACTTGAACAAGCAGAAAGTATATCACCTTTAGTCACTTTAATACATGTAATAAGCTCAAATACATTTAAAAATTTATACAGTACTGGTAAAGTTGTAGAATAAAAGGGTAGAAAAACTTTAAACAAAATGAATATGAAACAATTACTGTACAGACACATTAACAAGATGTTCCTGCAATCCGACAGAGTTCTTTTCAAACTTTAGGCACTTGTGACTTTTAAAACAGCAAAATGTTGGCAACGACAAACAGAAACGATCGACACTAAAAAGGTTAAACAATTACGTCACCAAAATCTGAAATCCATTCATACTGTACATAAAAATCAAGAACATTACTTCTTCAAATACATACATGATCAGTTGGAAAAATAACGAGAGCATCATGTATACATGTATGCAGGCCATCAGCTTCAATTTAAATTTTGGCATTATCTGGCATTTCAGCGAATAAGGTCACAAATGGAGTACAGAGCGTGTACAGCATCAAAGTTGTTAGTGCACATGCCAACAGACCTCTGTATCAATGACACCACATGTTTACTAGTGTGCATTCCTGTGGTGCTCAGTGGGCCATGGGCCCCCACTGGCTCCACAGAAAAAAAACGCATGTAAACAAAGTGTGATATCATCAGGTCATGGGTCAATTTGAAGCTTCAATGAAAGCTTAATAGGAGGCTTTGGTGTAAAACCGTCTCTGACAAAAACAGAATTTAAAACCAAGTGAAATATTCAGTATTAAGTACATTAGAAGTAGGCCATAAAAGTGTCACTCCATGTTCAGGTACATTGTTCAAAAATAATATCTTGGGGTCAGACAGAAAAATTTATTTCCCCCTTTTAACTCTGCTAAGCATGGAGTTGTATTTCCATTAAATGCTGTAATAAAACTTATTCAGGCAAAATCTAAATGCATGGATGAAGAACTTAGATCAAGAGATTTCACTCAGTGCACAGTTAAAGCAGAAAGGTTTGGTACAATTTCCTGGTCCCTCACACACATAAGATGAACTGACATTACACCCATTTGCCCTTAATGGACTTGATACAACTGGTCTGCTGGTTTCCATGGTTCTCACATCGCAACGGTGACTTGACGGGGATGCAATCAATTTCCTGGCAGCAGTTTTAAGAACTTGCTGCCCTCTCTGAAGTGAATTGCTGGATTTCTTGGCAGAGCCACTGCCCGACCGCCTGTCCATCTTCTGAATTTTCTCCACACGTCCTCTGTGAGATGGAGAACAGGTTTTGTGAAACTTGGGCGACGCAGTCCCAAAACCTTTCGTAGGTGTGGTGATGATCTGCCCGCATCTAATTGTGGTCTTGAGTTTGGGGCTAACTCCCCATTCTGTCTTTGAAAGCTTTCTATGTTTTGGACTCATGCATGAAGTCAGCTGCCCACTGGGTTCTGTTCCTGATTTAATCTTAATTTGGTCTGGTTTTGAGGAAAGGAACTTGGCCGAATCCCCAGAGGAGTTGCACTCCTCATCAGAGAAGTGTTGTGAGTGTTCTCTCCTCATTTCAGTTCTTGATTGTGAAGTGGATGACTTCTCCAACTGACTATTTCTAGACAGCCTGGCAGTATCTTCAGACAGGAAAATCGGTGATGGAGGGGGACTATGTGGAGGAGATCTTTGGATTGAGGTACAAGCATGTTTGTTCATGCTAGGACCGTGAACAGTCCTCACAGCAGTGCCAGAACCTCTCAAACTGACTAGACTCTCGGAGTCTCTCTGTACGGAAGAGTGTCTTGGTAACTCAATCAACTGGCCTGCTCTGTTGTGTAGGGATCTCACTCCAGGATCTGAATCCCTGATATTCTTTGAGTGGGATTTATTGCCACCAGCTGCAAGGTCCTCATTGCTGTTCTGATACTGAAGTGTGGACAGGTGATCCTCTTTGGTGCGGCCATACCTGAGCTTTCCAGAGCCTTTGCTGGGGGCAACCTGGTCATGATACCGGTCCCCTCTAGAGGAGTGTTTGGTAGAAGACTTCTTGGAAGGCTGAAGCTTTGGTCTTTGGTGGTAAAGCCTGGGGCCTGGAGATGAATCATCAGCTGTCAGTGAATATGGATCTACTTCCATGTCCTCTTCAGAACTGTCGTCAGAGAGACGGATTGTCATGTGTGTAACATCTAATTTCAGCTTGTCACCTTTCTTGCTTTTTGGTCTCAGATTTTTCTCTGAAAGTCCCAGCTTTGTTGTCGCCACTGACGTGACTCTGTCTTTTTTCTGTGCACTTAACCTTCTGCCTGAAGAGTCCCTGAGCTCTTCTCGTTGGCCACAAAATTTGGAAGGTGTTGATATGGACACACGGTTTAAAGGTGAAGAAAGAGTGGAGGGTGAAATGTGGGTTGGCGGGGTCAGAGGGCATTTCTTGACTCTGTCGGGCCTGGAGGGTGTCTTTGATGGAACAGGGGTTTTTGGTGTTTCATTCAGTGAGTCTCTTGAGTTGTCTTCGAGCGGTGTATATTTAGAAGGTTTGGAATGTTGTAGTGTTTGCTCGACTGCAACCTCTTTGCTCTTTAGTGCCGAGTGCCTTGAGGCTGGCAGGACATGAGAATCTGAACTGCTGCCAATTCTGTCTTTGGGACTTCTTGAAGATGCCTTGGTCTTCACTGAACGTTGCGGCCTGTTACTAGTTGACTGCTTCTTTGTGGGCTCCTCTGATTCTGTCTGGTGAGAATAATCTCTTGACTCCCTGGCTCCAGGAGCTGATGAAATGATGTTATTGTGGTCGGATCTGGAACTGCGCCGCCAGTGACTGGATTCTAGTGTCTCTGGCACGCACAATTTACTGACAACACTGGTTGCTTTTGTACATGAAGAAGTTTCAACCCTCTGGCCACGTGTCTTTGGAATTTCAGATACGCTATTGTCTTGACGTGACGCAAATAGACTCCTAGCTTCCTTCAAACGGGCACTGCTTCTCCTGGGAGTGTGGACTTCAGGGGAAAGGACACTGACACCTTCAAAACTCTCATCAATGTCAATTTCAGCATTATCTGCCTTCCCACGAGACTGGCTAGTAGGGCTGTCCAAACAAACACCTCTCTCAAGCACCGAGTCACAGTCACTCTCTTCTACTGCCACAGCGGTAGAATCAAGGTATCCCAGAGCAGTTTCATCAGGAGCACCCTGGCCCCGTGGTTTGATCTCTTTGGCAGTTTGGCTACTGGGTGCATGATTGCCACTGGTTCTGACTTTGGCCTTGGGGCTCTGTAGGTCCTGCAGGGCCTTCCTGAGTGATCGGGTAGGCGTTGCAGCAACTTCTCGCCTGATCTTCCGACGGGGTGTCAGATCCAGATCCTGTACGTCCACGCTGGGAATAATTAATGGCTTTGGTGACCGGAATATCTCCATGATTTCTTCTGTGTCAAAGCGGGGCGAGCGCACACTGTCAAAGTCTGACCTCCGAGTGCCTTTCCTTAATACTGAGCGTGGTGTAATACCAGATGTCTCTTGAGCAACAGAGTTCATATCATTATTCCCCTTGCTGCAATTTCTCACCGCCGGTGTAGAAAAATTCATCTGACCACAATTATCATCTGAGGCCTTCTCACTTTTGCCTTTCACTTCCTTATGGTTTTGGGGTAAATGTAGCCCTGCTGGGGTTACATTGTGACCACTCCTGTCTGCTTCAGAAGTTCTGTTCACTTGATCGTGCAGTGTGTTAAGTTCCGGGTTCAAGGCATCATTCAACGGCACTTCACCCAAGCACATCTCCCCTTGACCATCCAGTGGTAGCTCTAGTTCCCTTGGCCGACGAGTGGCCTTTCTGACACTTACTGCATCCTCCGAGTGGTTCATTTCACTCAGCATAGTACTGTTGCAAATGGCCTGAAAAGGAGGACGGGTCGTCCTGCTGTGGCAATAGTTTGTCTTTTGGTTAGTTCCTCGGAGCAGATGCGATGGAAGGAGGCCATCCTGCTCACTGTGCAGATTTCCAGCAAGGATGGTGCTGCAGTCTGTGAAGTCTGAGTCAGTGCTGGACAGCACACCTCGACACTGCAGTCTTACGGCTTGATCCCTCTTTTGAATGTCTGGTGCTGGGATCTCGTACCTCACATTGTCCAACCTCAGATCATTGCTCTTAAAATCTCTGGGAGGTCTGGAGAGTCGTTTTGGTGGGGTCTTGGAGGGCAGTGTGGCCCAGACAGAGATGGAACTGCTTGTTGTTCCACTGCTTTCAACAGTTCCTGTGCTGACCTCATCATCGCTCTGTGAGTTCATCTCATCAATGTCGTCGCCGTCGATGAAGCTGTCGACTAGAATAGACTGCATCCTGGTCAGGAACCTGTTCTTCTCCTCCAGGATGGTGGGCAGTTCATCTCTGAATTCGTACGGGTCATCCTCTTCTCCCTCATACTCTTCTTCTTCCTCCCTACAATCGACTGAAATCACTTGGTTCAGCCGTCCTCTTTTGACTGAATCTTCGAGCTCTTCTCGGTCCTCGGTTTCAAATCTACCGGACAGGTTCCCCTGTGCACTCAGACAGGCAGCTTGTGGAGCTGAGTCAGTGACAGCCTCTGGATTTCTTTGATGAAGGGACAGAGAGAGAAGTGATGCTTTGGATGGAGTGCAGATGGGGCCACTGTGGTCAGAATCTACGTCCTCATTGCCAGAGTCTTCTGAAAGAGAGCTGTATCTCATCCACATGTCTGTAGCAGAAAGGAGAAAAGCACTTGCACATTACGTCAACTAGCACGCAGTTACAACAATGAAAGCAAACTCTTCATTTTTATTTAAAGAAACTTGTCAAAACTCATAGTTGTAAAAGAATAAAAGCTACCTCACTCATGTAACCAGTGTTCTAGCCAGGTATCGGGTCGATACGCTGAGCAAAAGCCCTACATGCTGTCAAGTTTGATACGCTTCTATTTTACAGGGGAAGAGTTGCTAAAGTAAGTTTAAGAAACATTGCAATCCGAGATTGGAAAAATGTCTTCAAAAACATAGACGAAAAGTTACCAGAATATTGGTAAAATGAACAAAATCGAACGAAACTTCCACAATGTGACATAGCTACATGTACACGTACGTGCATGTACACACACGTCGTACACGTGCACAAGTTTTCACTGTTCTGTGGAGAAATCACACACAGCATGCACAATACTGGCTCCCGCCAAACCGCTGACAAAGTAATAGCAAGAGCAGATGGGTCAGGAGCCAGACTACAACTCCAGATTCCACATGCACAGCTGCAGTGATGGCATAGCTGGCAGCGCAGTAGTTGTCCGAACCTTTCAACTAGGGCCTCTTTGCTGGGCCTCTTTGCTGGGCCTCTTTGCTGGGCCTCTTTGCATGAATGTAGAGCAGAGCATTTTCCTTGAAAGGCCTACATGTATTTTCGGTATTGTTAATCATTTTAATTAATTTTTGGTAGTATATATTCTTTATTTTAAGACCAAACTTTTTTACTATTTTAGAACAAACATCTAACCTTGTGATGACGAGAGTAAGTTTGGAATGGTGATAATTTATATTCTTTTGACAGAAGTTTTCGGAACCCAGCAACAAAGAAAAAACAATGATAGGTAAATTATAATGTTAATTTTTAAGTTGGCATGACTGTTTTGTACTGCACATGTACACTTACGATAATTATTACAGTAGATTAAAACCCCAAGAAACTATTCATATTGAAATTTTTCAAAATAAAATGAAAACTGAGCTGTATTAACATTTGATGCATATCAAAACAATCTCATACCATGGAGTTTCTCAAACAAGAACAAGTACATGTGCGTGTAAAATACAATTATGCAATAATGAAACGTGGATCAGATATCCCATTGTTTATTAGACATTTTGCCCCTTCCTTAACAGCAAAGCCCCCTCCCCCAAAAAGGCAAAGAAAAGGGTAAAAGTCAATCTTAGGTTTGCTTTTTACAGTGACTGAATGGGGTAATTGAAGCTAAAAACTGTTATATTTAACGTAATAAATGTTAAACAGCACCCTCGGATGTCAAATAATATCCAGTCACCCTAGGCCTCCCCCCCCCACATCCGGTACATTGGCAGATACCCTTATGTTTTAATTTTATCCAAGCTAGAACCCTGCATGAAACAACTTTTTATAACCATCAGCCAATTTTTAAACCTTAGGCAAGGCAAATATCCTCAAGATAGACTCACCCTCAAGGCTCAAGTCAGCATTCACTTCATCCTGCCCATCTGCAACCTTTGTACCCTAAACAGAAGTAAAAAAAAAATAAAAATTCATGAGTACTGAAGAAGGGTTTTAGAGCCAGCAACTGAGCATCTGATTTGCATCAAATGAGCAATAATCCTGCCAAGGTGGAACAGGACTAAGGTTACAGGCACAGTTGAGTTTGTGGTTAGGCTTTCCTACCTGAATACTGTAGCTGGCAATAGTCTCCGTTCCAGATGTGTCTTCACTCTCGCTGTATCGGGTGCTGCCAAATGCAGAGTCTGTGCTATCCTTGGTGGAATTCCAATGACTGCCTATAATGCCAGACAGAATAAGTAGTTTCACAACACAGGTATTCCATATAGGAATTTCCTGCCCAGTTTTGGGAAGATGCGACAATCACACCTTTGAGTCCAGGAATGGGCATGTCAACTGATTCCACTTTGAGAAATGCTATTCAATACCTATTTACAAAATGAAATGTCTTCTCCTATAATGGCCCACCCCAGGTGGACATCAATCAGAAGTGTAACTGCTCTGAAATCATCCGGGACGGTTTCCACAAGACGTAAGTCCTTACTCTGAGACCAGAGTAATTTCAAGATGAAAGTCAATTATGTGCATACCTGAATGAGTATGTGACAAGGCTTTGTCAGCAGCCAATCTGGTCGTGCCGATCTTCATTGTTTTCACACTCCCGAGGAAACCTGTAAAAGAGCAGAAAATAACTTAACATGCTGTATATAATGCCTTTTTTAACCCTAACCCTCCTAAATCCTTCACCTGTTGGAGGATTGAGGAGGGTTAGGGTTAATCCAGACATCAACTTTAAGCCATATCTGTGCTGGGTCAATCATGTGCGAGAAGTGGCCACATATTATACATGTACAAGGCTTGTTTAGTCTGCCCACACAGTCACCCTCACAATTGTGATATTATAGGCCTAACTGTCATTATGGGACTGTTTAAAGTAACTCACCTCTGTCTTCCACTACTTTCATGTCATTGAGGTCCAAGACATCACTGTCAGCGAATGGACGATCATACTGCAAGAAGTCACAGTACGCGAAAAATTAGCAGAACGAATAGTTCCAGGTGCGGCCAAACAAACACACACACATTAGGCCTTCCATCTTCCCAGACTGCTTTGCAGCTACTGAGCAAAATCACTCGAACAGCATTGTTGAGCATGATACGTACATGTGGATTTGTACTACTGGTTGTTCAAAAACAAAAATCACCTAGAGCCTTTGATCAGAAAGAAATGGTTATCAGCTGGTGGCTGTGGAATTGATTGAAGGTACCATGGTGAAGGCTGGTCCATCGACCAATACAACTATCTTCACTAGCAAGACACATTCCACTAACAGCCTGGTGCCACAGATCCACCAAATACATACATGTACAATAGTGTAAACATGATAAAACGATAAATGTGGGGATTATAGAGTCGGTCTGTTTGTTGGACACAATTGGTCTAACTTAAACACTCTGCTATGCCCCAAAGAGTATGTTGTGTTACATGTACATGTGCATGTATGGCCAATCAAGTAGGAAGTATCCATCTTGGCTTCCCCATTTCTAAATGATCCACGGTACTGCTGAACCTTAAAACAAAATGTGCTTGGCTAATGAGGATTGGACTGAAAACCTATCCCACGAGATCAACCGATTAAGCACATTCAATGAAGGTCTTTAACACTTGGGTGATTTGACACTTTTTGGTCATTTGTGAAGAGGCTGCAGATGCTGGACTGTGACCTGGTCCTGATTATACTTATATTGCACAATTTTGGATAGACTCACCGTGCAGATTCGTCCCTTGTGACGCAATCTGATCCACTCGTTGAAGTTCATTCATATGCAAATTCTTTACAAAGAGATGCCCACGAAGCCCAGCACAACCTGGTAGTAGTCGTCTTTTGTTTTTTGTGTGCAATCTGATCGATTCGCCTTTTTGTGCTCCGTCTCTCTTGCTAGTTTGGTTAAGATTTTACTTTTTGGAGAGTTTCGTGAGATTTTTTTGCCATGTCTAATGATTCTATAGGAAGTCGTGTTCATTCTACAGCTCCCTCCACGGTCTCCAGGCCTCCAGAAGCAGATGGTGTTTCACAGGAAGTGTCAAACACAATTGTTGCATCATGGAGACAGCAGTCTAATAACCAGTACACTCCAGTTGAAAGATATAGGCTTGCTGGTGTTTTTCAAGGCAAATTGATCCAGTTCAGTCATCTGTAGCAGATTTTTGGGCCTTTTTGGGCAGCTCTATGATGATGGTTTGCTGTATTGAACCCTAAATGTGTATCGTTCATCTCTCTCTTCTGCCCACTAATTTGTAGGTGGCCTCGCCATTGGCCAGCATCAACTTGCTAAGTGTTTTTTCAAGGGTGTTCTTAACTTAAGGCCTCCCCGACCTAGGTACAATGTTACATGGGATGTTTCTGTTGTGCTGATCTTTATTAAAAAATTGCCTGATAACCGTCGCCTGTCTATCAAACAGCTGAGCTTGAAGTTATCAATGTTGGTTACCCTAGTTTGGGCTGGTAGATGTTCTTCGCTTACAGCTCTAGACATTGGTCATATGTCTAAATGCTCTGATGGAAGATATATTTTTTGGCTAACGAAACCATCTAAACGAGTGTCTGTTGTAAAGCCTTTCCATGAGATCGAGTTGCCTCGTTTTTCTGGCAACAGAAATCTTTGTGTAGTTCGGGCCCTGGAAGAGAACCTGGACAGGACACACCACTACAGGGGTTGCGGACGATCTAGTTGGTCTCAACTTTTATTGTCTCATTCTAAACCTCATCATCCTGTGGTTTCATCCAAAATTTTGAGATGGCTTAGAGATATTATGTCAATTGCAGAGATAGATACTTCTATCTTCAAGGCACATTCTACCAGGGTTGCCTCTACATCAGCAGCAGCTAATGCAGGTGTCTCTGTTGCTAATGTCCTCAAAACAGCTGATTGGTCTTCGGCTACAACTTTTACCATCATTCTACATGTACCATAGAAGGTCTTCTTCCAGCGAGTTTGGACAGGCAGTGTTGGCGTTGACACTGAAAGCTTTGAAATCTGCAGGGTGAGTCTATCCGAAATTGTGTAATATAATTCCCCAACTACATATATGTACTTACCTGCAATATAATTGGAATTATGAAGGATAGACTCACGCACAGGTTTAACCTGTCATACCCTCCCATCTTACCAATGTCTCCGCATCAGATATTTTTTTCCAGCTTCCAATAGACGACTACTACCCAGGTTGTGCTGGGCTTCATGGGCATCTCTTTGTAAAAAATTTGCATGTGAATGAACTTTAAAGAGTGGATCATATTGCACCACAAGGGACGAGTCAGCAGGTACGGTCAGTGGTTAATTAATATGTTTTTGCATTCCAACATTTTTTACAACCATCAAAGTCGGCCTAAGATTTGAAAAAAAAGGCCTGTTAAAAAGTGCAAACTACTAGGTACAAGGCTACATTCTTAATTTCTGGCATGTCTGGCTTATAAAATTCCAATGTCTGACTGTCGGAAACACACGCATCACTGCTTTCTTCGCTACTATGCCTACCTTTGCAATAATCGCTTCAAGATTCATCCGAAACTTTCTGGAAATCCGCTCTTTTTCTTTACGAAATGGACTTGTTCTGTTCCCCTTAAGTCCAGAAAACGCCATAATTCTCTAGTGTCAATTTTTTTAAAACATAAAACTCGAAATATAGATGAAAATCACACTTGCGGTTAAGTCCATCGTTTTACTTTCACAGCTGTACTGCAGACGACATGACAGAGGGCGCTTCGCCAACAACATCAACGCGCCCTCTGCGGTAGAACTTCGCCAATAAACATTACAAAACTCGCAAGATGGCGATGTCCTCGTCTCATTTCTGTCGCACCGGTAAGAAAATGTTGTTTAAAGTTTAATTTAACTGGCAAAGCCACGATACCAACTCCCTTCTGACTGATTGATATCTAAATGTCATTTAGTTGAGAATTTTGAAAGTGTAATACTTTCGACATGTTCAATTGCAATCTGCAAGTTTCATCATCTTGTGTGTTGTAACCTTGCCAGTTATCATGTGTTATGTCATGTATGCATTTGCATAATCATAACCCAAGTATCTCAGACCAAACAAGGCCAAAATAACCATAGCAGGGTACATTTTTAACGAATACCCTCGAAAGTATTAGTATTTCCGTAGAGTGGCCTGGGTGACAGAGTTTGGTTATCAGGATGATGATGTTTAATTTTTGATAATTTTAATTTTATTTTTAACTTACATACTTACAAGTTGTGATGTGCGCCTCTACCATGTCTACTGTATAAGGCCTAACTGATCCACAAATGTTATGTTGTGATTTGGTCTCAGTTTATTTTTGTTACACAATCCACCAGGGGTGTGAGAATTCAGCTTTTTAGCTGATTTCAGCTTTTTTTGTTTAGATGTTGACCCTGAATTTCAGCTTTTTGTACACCTGATCTATACAAAAGTATGGGAACCTTTTACATTTCATTTTTCAGTTTTTTGCTTGCTGTTTTCAGCTTTAATTTTACGTGGCCACTCACACCCCTGTCCACCAAACTGATAACAGAAAGAGTTCCATACCTGGACATCATTTGACACCCTGCGCACAAACCCTACAAGATTGGCCAGAACAATTTCAAGTGTAAAACAAATCCTTCAATTTTTCCATGCTACATTTGACCCTGTAGGACATATTTTTGCTTTCTGATGTCTGATAATGTCACTGATGGGAATAATTAGTGGCACTTTTGCCTTTGAGAAATAGGGCTTGCATATATATATATGCTGAAAGCGTAAGGTCCTCTAAATTTTTGGAATCAAAGTGAAATCTTTAGTAGGCCGATGTTTTGTTAGTGTTTGCATTTTGAGTGGTGGAGGGTGACTTGTCTTATTTTGTTGTATTTTAATTGCCAAAATTTGAAAATTTACCACATTGCCCTCTTTCTTGTCTTTTCATGTCAGTGCAGTCTTCCTGAAACTAACAGAACTTTGCATTCAAGTTTTTTGTATTTAAATGATTGGTTTAAGGATTACAGGTGCTTTGCACAGATTTCACACTTGACAAATTTAACCCTGTCTTAGAAATGACATACGTAGTGTCTGTTATTTTTGGCTATGGAATATATATTTAGATTATTCTCCAAGACATGTGATATATGAACCTCCAACATCAAATTGGCTATGCTCCTTATTGAAACCTTTTGTTTTGTATTTATGTCACAGTTTGTCGATTAGTGAGAACGTCCAAGACCTTGTATTCAACAACGTCAACACCTAAAATCACAACGCATTACACAGTCATCCCCAGGGAAAAGGATGAAAGATGGAAAGGTTTGTGACAAAGGCCCTAAGAAGAGACTGTATAAGAGAAGCAGAGTCTCCATAAGTTGCTAAATCAAGACAAAATCCAACTTGTTGACTTACATTTTTATGTCAGCAACAAATGATGTCTTTTTTCATGGGCATAAAAGAGACACATGTACAAATCTCGAGAATCAAAAAAGTCAATTTGTGCTTCATATTGTTGGTATAAATTCCTTCAAGTCATATATTGGCATTCATACTGTATATCTGTATTGGCATTACTTTAAAGAGGATTTTTTTTCTCTTTAAAACAGTGTTTCACTCTGTGGCAATAAAGTAATGAGTTTAAGGAAAATTTCATCAAAGTTTTAAATTTGTACATTAAAAAATGTATGTAGTTTTATTTTCATTGAGTTAAATTAATTTATTCAGTGTTCCCAATGAAATAAAAAAGGAATCACTTATTCAACAGAGATCTGTATTGAATGAAATAATGGAAAAGGCAAAGTTTGTACATTAACCTTATCCTCCAAGACCCTCAAAATTTACCATGAGGTTTCTGAGGGTTTTGTAGAAGTTTAATTAACCCCTTGACACCGGGACTTTTTTCTGAAAGCCGATTCCAAGAATTCCAGCCTCATTTGGCCACGAAGGCCACCTGCCACACCGCAAATTCTCGGTTCATGGCCCTGCGTGCTCTACACACTTCGATCAGTGAAAAGGCTCATTGCTCAGTGGCATGCGGCTCTACTCACGCTTCCACCTTCCCGTTGTCTTATTCCCATTGCCTTTTCTCAAAGTAGGGACTATTGTGAAGCTGGTGATTATGATGCAAATTCAGCCTTTTCATTTCTTGGCAACACACAAAGGCCAATCACCATATATACAAGAGCTAGGGTATGCCTTCTTTCACCATGTTCGCTCGAGCGTGGGCCGAGAATAATATCTGAAAAGCGGGCTGAGGGATCCCTTTTTTTACGGCGTCTCTTACCGCTTTCCAGTGAGAAGGGGTTAAAGCCCAGCCACTGTTTATTTACTTAAACCAGTCTCTCCCCCCATGTAAGAAGATTGATAATGGTACCCTTGGGTGGAGTTGTATCTAATGAAACCAAAATCTTTCCTGAAAACCTTGACCCTACCTCTGATATCAATAGTATTTTAATGCTATAGCTAATTCCAGAATGCACCTTGGCATTGTTATTTTGTGCTTCAGATGTGGAGATGGAGCGCTACGCCGACGAGGCGGATGTCGTGATCGTGGGAGGTGGGCCTGCTGGCATGGCAGCTGCCATCAAGCTCAAACAGCTGAGCCAAGAGAAAGGAACGGACCTCAGGGTGTGTGTGGTGGAAAAAGCCTCTGAGATCGGTGAGTCACAGGGTGAAACTAGTGCTCTCTACAGTGTTCAAAGTCACCAGCCGGAGCACAAGCTATTGGTGGAAACAGTCTCTGAAGTCCAATAGGCTTGTGGAAAATAGTAATCTACAAGTGCTGTACCAACTCTGATTCTGGTTTTGTCTTCAAGAGATTTTCACACACGCCTCAGCTTGGGCTGTAGACCAATATTCTTGCAATTTGTTACCTTAGGAGTTTAGTTTTTCACTCCTCATAAATTTCAAGCACAGCAGTCAGGAAAAAAAGAGCTCCAAAAGATTCCTGATTGTTTTCTACTGTAGACAGATTGAGAGACGACCACCAATAGAATGCATTCCTAACAGTCCTCAGATTTCAATTTGAAATATTGTTTTTGTCATTTTTTTTCCCATGTACAACCCCAAATCCATTGTCTTGTGTTGTTTTGCAGGTGGCCATACACTGTCCGGTGCATGCGTGGAGCCCAAGGCCTTTGACGAACTTATACCTGACTGGAAAGAAAAAGGCCTACCCTTCCACACCCCCGTTACGGAGGACAAGTTTGCTTTCCTGACGGAGAAGAGACGTATTCCCATTCCAATTTTTAAAGGTACATGTAGGTGAAGTTATAAGTAACATGTATATATATATATATATATACAGTAGCAGTCTGTGGCCCTTTCATTGTGCTGTCTGCTGTTTGAATACACATAATTTTGACTGAATTTGAAAGAATGCATTGTTGATGGTTCTTAGATGTGCAGGAAGAGTCTTTTTGTAATGGGAGTTGGTGTAGCCATGGCATATGCTCATTGACTGTAACATGTGGTTCATGGTCCCCTTGAAAGGTTAAATGTAGCATCTGAAGCGTGCATACATGTTTAGCAGGTTCCATTTTTTTTTACTTTTAAATATTGCTGTGACTTCTTTTTTAAAATAAAATATTGCTGCTGCATTTTAACGTACAAAGGATAATATCCCAAGCCAATCAGAAATTTCAGTGAGAAGAAATAATTAAAATATGGAATATTGGAATACGGGTGATTCACAGTAGAGCACCTCCAAGAGTTTGTAAAGCGTTGGCCAATCACAACTCGCAAAATTTATCAACCATTTTCAAACGCGCATTGGGTCGACAGATTTTGTGCATTGTGATTGGCCAATGCGTTGCAAACTCTGGGAGGCACACTACTGTGAAACGCCCGTATTGAATATAAAAAACGCAATGTTTGCATTTCATCACTATNCCGGCAATGGTAATCTACAAGTGCTGTACCAACTCTGATTCTGGTTTTGTCTTCAAGAGATTTTCACACACGCCTCAGCTTGAGCTGTAGACCAATATTCTTGCAATTTGTTACTTTAGGGGTTTAGTTTTTCACTCCTCATAAATTTCAAGCACAGCAGTCAGGAAAAAAAGAGCTCCAAAAGATTCCTGATTGTTTTCTGCTGTAGACAGATTGAGAGATGGCCACCAATAGAATGCATTCCTAACAGTCCTCAGATTTCAATTTGAAATATTGCTTTCATCATTTTTTTTCCCATGCACAACCCCAAAACCATTGTCTTGTGTTATTTTGCAGGTGGCCATACACTGTCCGGTGCATGCGTGGAGCCCAAGGCCTTTGACGAACTTATACCTGACTGGAAAGAAAAAGGCTTACCCTTCCACACCCCCGTTACGGAGGACAAGTTTGCTTTCCTGACGGAGAAGAGACGTATTCCCATTCCAATTTTTAAAGGTACATGTCGGTGAAGTTATAAATAACATGTATATATATATGTGTAGAGTAGCTGTCTGTGGCCCTTTCATTGTGCTGTCTGCTGTTTGAATACACATAATTTGGACTGAATTTGAAAGAATGCATTGTTGATGATTCTTAGACGTGCAGGAAGAATCTATTCTGTAATGGGAGCGGGTGTAGCCATGGCATATGCTCATTGACTGTAACATGTGGTTCATGGTCCCCTTGAAAGGTTGAATGTAGCAACTTAAGCGTGCATACATGTTTAGCAAGTTCCATTTTTTTACTTTTAAATATTGCTGTGACTTCTTTTTTAAAATAAGATATTGCTGCTGCATTTTACAATACAAAGGATAATATCCCAAGCCAATCAGAAATTTCAGTGAGAAGAAATAATTGAAATATGGAATATTGGAATACGGGTGATTCACAGTAGAGCGCCTGCGAGAGTTTGTAAAGCGTTGGCCAATCACAACTCGCAAAATTTATCAACCATTTTCAAACGCGCATTGGGTCAACAGATTTTGTGCATTGTGGTTGGCCAATGCGTTGCAAGCTCTTGGAGGCACACTACTGTGAAACGCCCGTATTGAATATAAAAAACGCAATGTTTGCATTTCATCACTACGAATCATGATATACACAGGGACATTCAAATGAGCAATTTGTGAATATGCATTTTATGCAAATTATCTTAGACTAAAGAGTGTATTTAGTTTCATCATATAAAAATCGTCAGCATGCTGTGTACTTCTGATCTGTAAAGTTTTCCCCTTTGTTCCTGTTGTAGGTCTACCAATGTACAACCACGGTAACTACATCGTGCGGTTGGGTAACGTGGTACGTTGGTTAGGTGAGCACGCAGAGGAGTTAGGGGTTGAAGTCTACCCTGGCTATCCAGCCAGCGAGGTGAGTATTGCTATCACTACTGTCAGAGCCAGCTTCGGCCTTGAAGTGGTAAAAACAAAAAGCCTCGTATATTTTCAGCACCATTCAACGTTGAATGCATCTGTGTGACAAATGATTTAATAACAGGTAGTAAATTTGTTAACTTATAAAATGTCTATTTTGAAAATTTTGAGTAACCTACAAATACAGAATGGTGGAGATGATACAGCAGGAGAAAGCGTTCACTATGTATGAAGCTGAAAACCAGTCTGATCGCTGTTGTTTGAATGAGACTTCTAAATTCTGACAGAACTTTAAGAAAGCAACAGTGTCCGAATGTTGATTTTGTTTGATGATGTGGATATTGGCAGATTCTGTACCATGAAGATGGCAGTGTCAAAGGCATTGCCACATCAGATGTTGGAATCGCTAAGGATGGCTCACCAAAGGTAAGGACCTCAGGATATCAGCTTCCTGATGAGTTAAAAGGCCTCAGCTCAATATTTTTCCAATGTTACCCTGCAGGGTAACAATTCGCAGCCAAGACCTAATATCGCCTTCCACTACAGGATACTAGATACAGTAGGTCTCTATCAAGTGACCTCTCTTCCTACAGATTACCACATGCATTTTGGATGTCCATTTTTTGCATCGGCTGCTCTGTATTTCAAAGATATTTAGGTCAACATGCATGCATGAACACAATAACGTAGTTCTAATTTTCCTACACAGATTGCCTCCTATGAGAGAGATCTGTACTTGTGGTGCTGATGATCTCGCTAGTTTGATGTTAGAGGTTATGTCCTGTACAGCATGTATGCTTTGTACACGTATATGACAAATCATATATGAGTGAATTTGGGTTTTGTTTGACTTCAGGCGACATTCGAGAGAGGCATGGAGCTGCACGCCAAGTGCACCATCTTTGCCGAGGGTTGCCATGGCCACCTCGCTAAGCAACTGTTCAAGAAGTTTGACCTAAGGAAAGACTGTGAGCCCCAGACATACGGCATCGGCTTGAAAGAGGTGAGCAGAAATATTGCCTCAGGGTTGAGCTATCCCTAAATGACCTTTGAGGGATACTGAACATTTTCTGTCCAGAGTACAATTTCCACCTGCAAACTGAACCTGAAAACCTCTCTTGCTTTCCTTCCAATCAATGAAACTGTGTGACTCAGCAGTGCTGAAATCAACTTCTTTTCTCATTACAGACCTGATACCTGTATTAAGTTTACAATGTGGCATTTCACAAGTTGAAAACGTTTTCAAAATTTGTGGATACAAAGTACAAAGTTTCAGATTTATTTCATAGTTACATTTTGGACAGTCCTGTAGGTTTTTAAACAAATTGCTTAGCAGGGCACGATGCGTTAACTTCATTAGTCACTTGTAAGCACAGATTATTCAGATATGTAGCCCTGTTAGTGAGCTTTACTTATATTCATCGGCCTAGTGTTGTAAATTGGATGGTTTTGTTTGAATTGTGCAGTTGTGGGAGGTGGATCCAAGCAAACATCGCCCAGGATTAGTTGAACACACCGTCGGATGGCCACTGGTGAGTTTCTGGCTGTACAGGGCAAAAGACATAATGTTTAACGCTGCTGTTGAAAGTCACACCTAGACAAACTCTGAAATCTACACATTTGGCTCCATCTTTCAAGTTCTGCCATTTGTCATTTGTCAGGATGTGTGATTGAGAAAAGGTCTGATTCACCATTGATTCACAGAGTTGGGAAGGACCTTTTCTTTAATCATATTAACACATTGTGAATGTGAACACTATGACGCAATATTCACAAAATTGAAGTTTTGTAAAATTTCACATCACTAGACTTGAAATTACAGATTTGCGTACCAGTAAGTTTCGAGTTCTTCCATTAAGCATTATCAAATTCTAATTGGAAATGTCATGCTTTGCCCATAAGCAACTTCCTGAAAACCTTTCGGTGTTCCCATGTGGATACCAGCTTCTTCCTGAGGGAATATATAGAAAAATACTGGCAAAACTGGGTCTTTTCCGAAAGGAGCATTTGGCGTAAAGCAAGGAGAATTTTGATAGGTACTGAGTTTATAAAGCCACAGGAAAGTACAACTCCTTTTGCCAATTTGTTTGCGTATCAAACTCGCAGAGCAAAGATTTATATGGTGGGTCCTTTTGCTATCACCTGGGCGAGGGTGCACCACTAGTGTCCGTCGGTTTTGTCCTGGGCCTGGATTACAGCAACCCCTACATCAGCCCCTTTAAGGAGTTCCAGAAGTTCAAGCAGCATCCGGCCATCAGACCGACCTTCGAAGGAGGCAAGAGAATCGCGTACGGTGCAAGGGCACTTAACGAAGGCGGTTACCAGGTAGGTAGAGAAAATTTCTGGTCAGTAAATCCCCCCATGATCAGAGTGGTGGGTTATCCATCAGTTATCCATCAGGACAAACACTGAGCGCACAGTGTTATGAATATACATTGGTGTAAGGGTTAAGCCAATTATTAAAAATTAGCATCTCCCCAATGCGAAGTACACCTTGAAACAGGTGTCACTGAGTTATTTGTCCCAACACACATGGCGTGTATGCACATCATAGTTGCACCCAGAAAACAAAAGTTGTATTCCATGGTTTGCAGTAATGGAACATTCTAGTCCAATATTATGTAAAATTCCTGAACTCACATATGAGTCGGGCATTTATTCAGATAAGATTTGTTTAGGATGGGAGTCATAGAATTCTGTCCCAAAGGAGGGTATGGGTTGTGAATCTAAGTTCAACTTAGATTCAACAACTCGCTACTTGCTTTTTTTCATGATGGGCAATAAAAGGAAGGAAACCCCTGCGACATTGACAGGAGGTTTGAGAGGAACCAAGAGAGGGCTTTTTTATCCACAGAATGATGTCAAGTGGAATGCACTTGCATTTTTATAGTCCCCGTGGTACGCACACACTAGTACCAAAATTGCACAAATACATGTGATTCAAAGTTTGCACGGTGTACACAGCAATCAGCCCAGGTTTGTAACTACATGATGCAATAATCTCTTTGTGGAGAGATGAGTTGGGTTACAGGTGTCAACCAGTGCGATAACTCAATGTTTCAAACAGTTATGCCGTCTGTCACCAGAAGACAACAGACAGATGGTTAAATAGCTTGCTGTCTAAAATAGTCCTGTTTATTTTCTTTCTTTTGTCTTAATGTAGTCTGTTCCCAAGCTAGCCTTCCCTGGAGGCATGCTGATCGGATGCAGTCCCGGCTTCATGAACGTGGCCAAGGTCAAGGGCACCCACAACGCCGTCAAGAGTGCAATAGTGGCCGCCGAAACCTTGTTTGATAAGATCACTCAGGAGAACACTACCTCTGAAACACAGGGTAAGCTCCGTCAAACTATCTAATCCTTCCAAAAAAATTCCACCAATAGGTCTGGGACAGGTTATTCTGGGTTGAAAAATAGAGCCAGGCCACTGTTGCTTTATCGCAAATGTTGTGATATCGGAACTCTTTTGATTCATTTTTTTAAATATGTAATTTTGCTCTGCAGTGCGCACTGCATTTATGATACTAACTAGCCAATCCCTTGAAGGCTCGTTTTTGGAAAATGGGCACTAGAATGTCTTAATTGGGTTTGAGTCCCACGCGAGTAACCTTGCAAGACTTCTTCACAAGCCCTCAGGCAACATTATTTTATGTATGCAACGTTTCTGAAACCCATCCGTCTCCCTCATCGTTTCTGTCCATCATCTACATGTGCATGTACTCTCAAATGTGCAACCAGTAAGGGCGGGTATTTACGTTTGATTTGAAAATCGTTGACAAAAATTTGCCCATACTGTTTATAAAACGTTAAGCCAACACTTTACAGAAGCTGCCGCCGCCTACCTCAGTGTTTTCATATGTGCATAATTATATAGTTCAACAGTACACAGGGTCCAACCTATGTAAACATGTAGATTGATGTTGGGGCATTTAGAACAAGCAGTGTTTATTGTTTTAGAAAACACTTTCTTTTTCAAAAATACATGGATGCCAAAAGGGGAAAAAAAGTGTAAAACAGGCATTGTTTACAATAAAAGAGGAATGCAAGATTGCGCCAATCAAACATCAAACCTCAAAAACTAAAAGAGGCGATTCTGTTAAACATTTGGAAAATCTTTTTTTTTTTTACCTTTGAGAAAGATTCTGCTAAGATCGAAACCTCAGGACCTCCATATTTTGAGATATGTATTTTAGGTCATTGTAGTCAGTAAGCAGTTTGCAGCAGTTTTGTATTACATATCTTTGGAATTTGGAAAATCTGTAAAATTTTCATTTAAACGTGTAAACGTCCTATCCTTAGCAACCGGCACTTTAGTATTTGGCAAGTGCAATGTCTTCTGTGTTACCCAGTTATTTCTTTCTCTGTGAACACCAAAAGAAAGAAAACATTCAGAAGGTTTTAGATTCATAGATACCAAAATGAAACCCCCCGGTGAATGGCAAACAAAACTATAAACAAATCCCATCTACATAACTGAGTTGTTTTTACACATGTCTAGGTTTATATGTGGAAGAGTACGAACCCAGGTTGAAGGAAAGCTGGCTATGGAAGGAGCTTTACGCGGTGCGCAACATCCGACCATCCTTCAACAGTCCTCTAGGAATATTTGGAACCATGATCTACACGGGCATCTTCTACCTCCTAGGGAGGAGCAAAGAACCTTGGACACTAAAACACCACGGTGAGAAGATAAAGAGTCAGTTTGTGGTTTTTATTAGATGGAGTCTTTCTTGGAGGCATTGAACTTAGTAAGGGCTCTTTTCATCTTGTTCAGTTAAATTCTACCAAGTTATAGTGAAGCCCTTTTCGCTACTTGCAAAGTGTTCTGAAATAAAGGTGTTGTACAAATTTGGCATAAAAAAAACCCTTGTTGCCTGGGTGTTTGGGCTTTTGACAAAAAGCTGTAATACATTTGGAAAATGGCTCAGGTTAGGTTCTACTTCCTTTTAAGCACATGTACATTTTATACATACCTCCCATGTCAAGCTTTGTATCCAGATATATGTACTTATGTAGAGGCTTCATTTCCTATGATATTCTGGCAAATTTTCAATTTGAAAAAAAGGACTCGACTGCAGGTCTGAAATGCTGAGAAGTAATTTTAACCACTGCTTGCCGGCTGGAGTTTGCGCATGCAGGATGCGCTGGTAGGGGATTTTCCGTTTTCCAAATTTTTCAAAGATTCGTGTCTTTATTTATGGGAAGTGTGCACCCACACAAATGACTGTCTGGTGGCTAGTCTGGCAGGCAATCTTCATTTACACCTGATTATTGCAGTCATGCCTGCTGCCCAATAAAGAGCCCCCATTGTGTGATGATGCATAATTTCCTTTGTTCCGGAAATTGGCCCGGTGTGTCCCTGGATGGCGGTGTTGTCTTTTCCAATGCAGCCAGATTCTGTGAGAGTGCAGCAGTATTGTATCACTCATCACTGGAATGCTAGAAGGCTTTTGTCCCTGCTGATAATCCGCTCGTGCTGGCAGTGGCAAACAATGTACTGTTTCAAAATAATGACTGATTACCTCCGCTAATGGCCAGCACTCTGTGCTGACATTATATGAACCTTGATTGGCAAGTCCCAGCAGCTTGGTCTTTTGTTACGAGGCTCAGTTCCTTAGTTCTGATTTTGGGCACCCCTGCCATGAATATACGGCCAACATCTCCAGTACTAGGAACCCCGGCGCCGAGTGGTTAACCACTACCAGCCGGGGACTCCGAAATCGGAGCCATATGGTTTATATGTGTGGCCGGGGTCTCCGAACTTGGACAAAGG